GCTCTTGTGATTGACGGAAATGGTACAATCACGATAGACTCTCTCTGCTAGAATAGACTCACCAACATGTGTAGAAACACTAAAGGGATCAATAAGTTTCTCAGGAAGAACATCAAAATTCATCGCAATATAAGGAGTTACAAAGGATAAACTCGCTCCTAAATCTAGCAAAGCATAAATAATAAAGTTAAAGAGTTGGATCATTACAGTGACAACATCTGGCGAATCCTCTTGCTCTTGGCGACTGGTGATAGCATAAAGACGGTTTCCTCATCTGCCTGCCCCTGAAGTAGCTCATCTAGATACAGCTCTGTCTGGTGGAGCAACTGAAGAAGACTGGGCTCTATTACCCCCATTACCATTTCCCTGCATGTTCTTTGGACACTTTCTCATAAAATGACCATTCTGGCCACACTTGAAACAATCAGTGGAGCCATCACGACACAACCCTGAGTGGATCCTACCACACTTAGTACATGCAGGAGGCTTACTACTCCATTGTACCATACTACCTTGAGAATGGGTAGGTCTAGCTTTGAAATTCTGTGAATTCTGACTATTGTACTCACATTTATTCTTGGTGCAGGCGCACTAGCAGATGATGGAGTAGGTCCCTTTTGTTTCTGTTGGAAGGAAGACCGATTCGCATTACTCTTTTGCTGCCCGGACTAATTCCCTGGTGTCTTAGCCCTCTTATTTTTAAACTCTTCTCTATCCCTCAGCTTGTCCTCCTCAACTTGTTGCACATGGATCATTAGCCTTGCTATGTCCATATCCCCTATCAGCATTGATGCCTTGCCTTCCTTGCTTGACAGGCGAGACAACCCAGCAATGAATAAACGCATCCTGCTCCTCATGTCAGCAACCATCTCCGAAGCATACTAGGAAAGTTGTGTGAACTTCAGACTGTACTCATGAATTCTCAAAGAATCCTGCTTAAGACTGAGGAACTCTCATACATTTGCTTCTCTTAGTTCTCAAGGAAAGAAACGCCCCAAGAAGGACTCCTCAAAACAAGCCAAACTCATAAGTAGTGCACCCTCAACTTGATTCTTCTTCCATTGATCAAACCAAATTCTAGTGACACCCTTCATTTGGTATGCAACTAGTTCTACCCTCTCAGCGTCACCAATATGCATGATCTCAAAAATCTTCTAAAGTTCCTCAACAAAGTTCTTTGGATCCTCAGTAACACTTGAACCTATGAAGCTTGGTGGATTCATCCTTAAGAACTCACAGATCCTTGAAGTATTAGCCAATTCCTATCGATTCTCTCTTTGTTGCCCAGTTTGGTTGGTCACAACTTGGCTAAGCATCCGGATATCCTCACGGAACTCAACATCACAGAACTCAACATTGGTGACCTCTCCTTGAGATTGCAGTTCTGATACATTAGGTACCCCTTGTTCATGTGGTTCAACATTCCTTCTAGTCGGACAACCTCTGACATCTCTTCATGGAGGCATGATCTGAAAGACACATGCAAGCACAAATTAGAACGAAACTTTTATAGAGATACACTCTATTGCACGAAATGAGTATGAAGGAAGTGAGATAGTTCCTAAGTGTCGCAGCCTCCTAATTATAGATGTGGCATGCTTCACACAGATAACTAGGACTCTACATACACGGCTTCATAGACTCTCTAGGACTCTTGAACTCTCTACTCTGATACCAAGTTTGTCAGGCCCCAAGACTATACCATGGGCGGGACTGGAACTCCAGAACCATTGTTGGCCCCAAGCGAACCCTTGGCCTGGCTTACTACTCAGCGGAAGACTTAACTCATGATAATTGTACTTTAAAAGTAAACTGAAAGCTAAAAAATAACTGAGAATGTATTATAAATAAACATTCACTGGCCAAAATGGCAACTCAAGTCTCAAACATAACTGAAACGGAAAGACTCAAGAACTAACATCAACTAACTGTCTATAAAACCTCTAACAACTGAGATGGACGTTGGGACAAGACCCACAACATCCTAATGAACTAAAATGATAAAGTAATGGAAAAGGGGATCATTCGGAAGCAAGGAGGCTCACCAACAACTTTGAAGCTCAACTGGATCAACGATGCACTGGATGTTAATCCTAGTTACAGCTTGAAAGGAACTGAAAAAACATACCTGGGCTCAACTAAACTCAACTCAAGATAACTCATTTCAATATAAAGAAAAAATATGAATGCAATATAAAGAAAATCTTTTAACACATGGATAACAACTCTATGTATTTAGAAATATAATAGTAACTATGCATGTAAGCAAATATACAATATAAACTTTGGAATGTGTATAAAATACAATTTAATTTTGTGTATATAAGAATACAAAATACTTATGTGGGAGTTTCTCTAATTGACAATTATCACTTAAGAGCTAATGTGATGAAACAACATTTTGCCTCACGTTGTCAGGGACGTCTTATACCTTGTCGAGGGTATAGAACCTGACTACTAAGTGGATCCACTATTCTATGCTAAAAATTACTAAGGAATCATCTAAAAAGTATGACCATTTTCTATCCATGATGGCTACATGGTTTATGGGGGTTGGGAGTTGTTTAAACTCTCCCCCATATCGGTGTTCAATACTACTCCCAAAATATAATACTAGCTCTTATGTTTAAAAACATAACTTCATTCTGTGGTTTGAGATAATTTCTCAAAACTTAGCTCAAAGTCTCTCTTGGAAATGAAAGTTTCCTCTCTTGCTTAATTATGAAAGCATTTACTCTTTACTGAAAACTAGTTCAAAGGCTCTTTTGGAAATCAAAGTTTCATTTCTTGCTCAAATGTGAAAACATTTACTCTTTGGGAATACATACTCCCGATATACTCTTTTGAAGAAATGAACTTCAATCTTTACTCTTTACTCAACTCAAAACTCAAGTCTTAAAAAAAAGTAAAAACATTTGTAAAAGACTTTTTGAAAACTCTATGAACTTCTCTCGACTTGACTCTTAACTTTCATGTTGTTTAGACGTACCTTAGAGTGTAGAAATCAACTAGAAAACATAGGTACGTTTCAAGGAAACTCATATGGAAAGAAGTGGGAAAGGGTAGAAGACCTGACGTCATTGGCGCTCTGAGTGGCGCAGGGCGCCAGAGGCAAAACTACAGAACTGAAGTTGGGGAGCACTAGCTGGCGCAGCGCCCCAACTATAAAACACTTTGTGGGGCGCTCTGGTTGGCGCGGCTCCCTACCCCTTTTCTCCAGAATTCTCCAATTTTTCTTGCTCGTTTTTTAACTTTAAACCCTTTAGATTCAATTGGTTCTTTCCCCAAACACTTAGATTCGAATAGATAACCAAAATATGCAAGAATCTACTCAAAACGACATCTAATTTTATGAATTTACATCAAGAACTTCTCAACAACTTCAACAATCAAGAACCCAATAGAAACTTCCAACAAATTCATCAAGAACTCAATTTCTATTATTTCAAGAACATAATTTCGCTGAATAAAATCATGATTGGCGCGTGGGTGAACTAACCCAATGCTATGTGATCTCACATACCTCGTAGGGATCAACCCTTGGCGACATCCTCAAGCAATTCTTCAAGAACTCGACGATTCTAAGCTTCTTCTCCTCTTTTCTCCTCTTCTTTCCTCTTCTCTCAAAACCCTAACTTAATTTTGTGAAGCGTAAACTGAATCCAATTAGTTGAGACACCCCAACTTAATTACCGAATCTAAGTCACTTGACACCAAAAGAACTAAATACACATGGATATGTCTTCTTAGGGAGGTAGAGGTCTAGGCCAACTCTTGACCGCATTCGTCTTTTTAGGATATGCCTCAATTCCCTTTCCGGAAATAATATGACCAAGAATAGCCATGGAACTTAACCAAAAATCGCACTTACACAATCCTCAAATGATCGGTGTGCACTTCTTCACTCCTTGAATAGATCAATATATCATCAATGAACACAATCACAAATATGTCGAGGTATTGTCTAAACACCCTAGTCATCACATCCATAAATGCGGCTGGAGCATTAGTCAAGCCAAAAGGACATTACCAAAAACTCATAATGGCCATATCGAGTCTTAAAAGACATTTTCGGAATGTCATTCTTCCTCACCCTCAATTGGTGATAACTTGACCAGAGGTCAATCTTAGAGAAGTAACTTGCTCCTTCTAGTTAATCAAAGAAATCATCTATCCTTGGAAGATGATATTTATTCTTAATTTTAACCTTGTTCAACTGACAGTAATCGATGCACATACAAAGCGAACCATCTTTCTTTTGAAAAAATAGAACTGGAGCACCACATGAAGAGATACTCGGTCGGATGAAACCCTTATCCAACAAATCTTTTAATTGCTCCTTTAATTCCTTAAATTCTTCCAGAGCCATTCGGTAAGGATTTATAGAGATAGGTTGTATATCTAGGATTGAAGTATATTTCCCCTTCAAGAGGAACACCGAGTAGATAATTATGGAACACTTCCAGAAACTCATTTACAACGGGGATCGACTCAAGAGTATGGGTTTCAGAGTCCATATCCCTCACCCTAACTAGATGGTATATGCAACCCTTAGAAATCATCTCTCTAGCTTTAAAAAAAGCTGACCTTTCGACATAGAAATTCACCCTTCCCACTACTATACGCTCATTTGGAAACTGAAAATTTATCACTCGAGTTCTACAATCAATAGAAGAATAACAAGAATGCAACCAATCCATACCAAGATTAACATCAAAATCTATCATATCAATCTCAATAAGATCAACATGAGTGACTCTATTGGATAAGGAGACAGAACAATTTCTATAGACTATCTTAGCCACAATAGATTTACCAATAGGAGAAGAAACAAAAAAAGGGTCTATTAACACATCCGAAAGAATATCAAACTTCATAACCACATATGGCATCAAAAAAGACAAGGTAGCACCGGGATCAATAAAATCATAAACATCAAGATGAAAGACTTTAAACATAATGGTGACCACATCGGGAGAACCCTCTTGCTCATGATGAGTCTAGAGTGCATAGAATTTGTTTTGTTTTGGAGAACTTGAACCCGAACAACTAGGCAGAGCTTGCCTACCTTCTCTTCCCTTAGCCATAAGTGATGGAAAATCCCTTATCTTGTGGCAACACTTACCACAACCAAAGCAACCATCTGTATCAGCTAAGCATTTACCCTCATGCTTCTTTCCACATTTAGCACAAGTAGACAATGAAAATCCACCACCATTTTCTCCTTGAGGTTTAGGGTTAGATACCATATCTTTGTTGAATCTAGGACGAGAATTTGAGGAACATTGACCGGAAAACCTTTGTCAAAACTTAGAATGACCATGACCAGCAGACCTTGAACGTGAAAAGTCACCATCTCCGGTCCTTGCCTTCTTTGTCTCCCTAGATCTTTTCGTAAGTTTCTTTTCTTCTATTTGTTGAGCATGAACCACTAGATGATAAATTTCCATATCATTGATGAGCATGGAGGTACAACATTTTTTACTACCATCTCATACACTCCCAAAACGATCTTACTCATCCTTGCCCTAGGGTCAGCAATCATAGTAGGAGCATATCTAGACAATTGTGTTAACCTCTAATCATATTCTTTCACGCTCATGTTTCCTTGATGAAGGTTTATGAGTTCAAGTATTTTTGTCTCCCTCATCTCAAGGGGAAAGAACCTATCAAGGAAAGAAACCTTAAACTTTTCCCAATTAAAAGGACCCGCATCAACCCCCTCTCTTCTTTCAATTGGTTGAACCAAACTTGAGAAACACCTTTAAGTTGATAGGCAGCAAATTCTGCCTTTTCCACCGGAGTCACTCCCATGATCATCAACACTTTATACAGTTCATTAGTGAACTTTTGTGGATCTTTCTCAACCTTTGAACCATGAAACTCTGGAGGATTCATTCTGGTGAAGTCCCTCACTCTAGTTGTCGTTGTACCCGCATTTGGGTTAATGGGGACCACAATCTCCCTATTAGTTTGAGTCGTCATGGCTTGGGCCAATACTTGAAAAGCAGCTCTAAACTCCGCATTAGTTACTTGCTAGGCCAAAGGGTCTATTGGAATTTGAGGAGCTTGAGGAGGAGCTTCTTGTTCCACATTCTCATTCGCATTCCTCCTAACGTATGCTCTTCGAGGGGCAATATCCTGAAAAGTGTCTGATAGGGATTAGGAGAAAGGACATATAGAGTCAGACACTATCACACAACTTAGAGTAATGAAAGAAGTTATGTTTCCTAATCATCTTATAGCTTCTTATTAATAAATGTTGCACGATTTACACTCATGAACAAGGCTCTACTTGACGTGGCTTATGAGACATCCTAGGACCTTTTTAAACCTTGTGCTATGAATACCAAGTTTTCATGACCCAAAGTACACCCTAGACGTTACATGGCATATAGGACCTTGAGAGGCCCTATACAAAACACTTAGCATACATCATACAAGACAATAGAATTGAAAGAGTTCAAAAAACTATTTTATATCAAAGAGTTTAACGAAACGTAGCGAAAGTCTAACATAGTATCAAAGCCATCTATTACAACAAAGAGTAATTGGGAAGTAACTTATACATCACATATAACATCTGAAAGTAAAGACAATAAGCAATAAAGAGTTTGGTCATCAGAACATGACAAACGATCAATCTTCAAAGCTGCTAAGGTAATCATTAGCCACGAGGATGTGGAATAGGAGCATCAGACCCTACATTACTAAAATAATGTAGGAAAGAGTATGTGCTAGTACAAAGAATGTACTAAGCATGATAGTAATGCATAAGAGTTATAAAATCATGCTAAAAGGACTTTTCATGACATGCAAAGACCCAGTTAAAACATAAGATAAAAGGTTACAAGAATAATCGTGATCATGGTTAATGCAAGTAAAAATAATCTTTCTAACACATGTGAGATACTTCTAGAAGTAACAATAGTTCATTATTGTAGGAAGTAGCCATTAACCGTCATATAGATCATGAGAGCTATAATAAGGAATCCGGCATCTATCCGACACCGAAAAAGAGATGTCCTTACTTGCCAAGGTAAGAACCATAAACTTCTAGCTAAAGTGGATCCACTAGCTAATGTCTATCTAAGAAAATCATCCCATGGTGGAACATAGTTATGGGATAAAAAGATTGCTACCAAAAACCCAGCCTCATGTTATGGGAGAGCTTCCATCTCAACATCCTCTTGGTGCTAAGCATAAATCACATGGAATAGTCATTAGTCTTTACTTGCCTTATCATTAAGAGAAATGGGTAATCATAGCTTGCCTTATCTTCTATGGAAGGCACATTAGAGCCAATCCAAGTTAGGTTTCATTAGAATAGCTCCTAAATTTTGATTCAAAGTTTAGTTGAGAAAACCTTTCAACTCTAAGAATCCTTTATGTGAGAAAATCCTTTCACATTCATCTATTGAGTAGTATGTGAGAAATACTTTCACAACAACAGCATTGATTCTTTTCTCTCAAGTCAACTTAAATCATTTTCATCAATTTCACAAAGAACATGCATATCTTCATAAATTCATCTTTCATAGTTCAACACCCACATTGTATCATCATAGTTTATAAAACATGGGTTATGCAAGGGTTCATGGGGGATTCAAATTAAAGAATGCAATTAATTCAATTCATACATAAGAAGACATAAAATAATCAATTGGATTAACATTGAAAGCAGCTCATGGCGATTGAATAAAAGTCCTAATTTGATTGGGGAATCTATCTTTACAAAAATGGGGATTTTAGGAACCCTATGGAGGAAAGAGCTATATAGGTGAAGACTATCAAACCTTGGAGTTCAAAGCTTAAAAGATATGGTGGATTGAAGACTTGATATTGAAACCCTAGACTTCTTCTTCTTCCTTAGAGAGAAAAATATTTGAAAGGATGAACTTTATCAACTTTTGGGAATTTAAGAGAATGAATTTAGTTGGGTGATTTTGGGGGTAAAATTATTTATATAGGGCCTAAGGTAGAAGGTTAAACGACATAGTACTGAGTTAAAATAATTGGAAAAATACCAAAATAACCTTAACTTATTACTGATAAAGTGCTTCCCACAAGGGGCTTCACGGGTCGTCTAAAGCACCACGGACCATCTAGACGTTTTTGGTTCTTCACAGTACCCTTTGGTGCAACCCCACTTTTTGTGTGACTTGTATGGACCCCTAGATGAGCCATCCAAGTCACCACGGGCCGTCTAGGTGACTCCTGCCAAGGGCAGTCCTAGATGGTCTCACAACGCCCTTAACGGGCCATGGACCCCTACACGGCCCATCTAGGGTGCCGTGAAGGGTCCATGGTCCATTTTGGATTTGTGGACTTTCTTGTTTACCCTTTTTAGCCCTTTTTCAAATCTGAGGTGTTACAGGTGGCTTATACCCTTTTCAAAGCATTGTTGCAATCATCATCACCTCTTCTCAAGTTCTTTTTCTTCTTTTTCATTTGAGAACTCAAATCTTGGTTTCCCACTCATGTTATTTTGAATCCCTCTTTACTTCACTCACTCCTCTTTTTCATCTTCATTTTCCAATCGGTTTCCATCACAATGATGATAAAACACCCAAATTTTTTATTTATTTTATAAGTAGGGGTTCCTTCTTTTTGTAAACCTTTCATATTTGAGTCTCATTTCTTCTTCCTTTTGCCCTTCACTCGAATTTCATTCATCATTCCTTTCAACAACCCCAACTTAGGCTTTTGGCATAAGTTGGCTATTCAAACATCGCAATGCCTCAAAACTAGTTTTTTGTAATAAGTTAGGGATAATTTGACTCAAGAGGCTTCTTTTGGTTGTTAACAAATAAGTAAGGCTCAATTGGTGCCAACATGGATTCACACCCTTACAAGGTAGTCACAAAGAGCTTTATGGAAAATTTTGTTCCCTCGTTGAATTTTCGCTAAAGATCATGTCCCACATTCAACAAGATTCACACAATTGGACTAACAAGGCAAATTATAGGACTCCACATGCATACTTTCAAGTAAAACCTTACCACACATTGAACTTTGAAATACACTCATTTAGGACATCGCAAAAAAGATTAAAAGCGTATATGTGAAGTTCATTACAAGGCTCACATCAAGATGTAGCTAGTCAATAAAAGATTCAAAGAGATCACTTAAAGGTGTGACCACATTTATTTCGTTCTCGCAACACCAACACTACACATTATGTTCATCATGAGTACTATTCAAGACATCGATATTGATCAAAATTTATTCTCAAATTGTTATCAATGAAAACTTCAAGAATTTCATGATTTGAACTCACAAGAATTGCAACATTAAGAGAGTATAAGATAGAACTAAAAATACAAACAATTACTCAAAAGAGCACTCTAATATAAAACAATCAATAACTACAATTGTTCAAAATACAAAATAACAAAATAACAAGCAAAAAGAGGAATATTAGCACAAAAGCCCTTACCCTACAAAACTAGAATGTAGTGTCCTCAATGTAAAACAAATAAAATACTGAGAGGATGGAGAAAGGGTCTCTCTAACAAGCTATTCCTATGGAGCACTCTCATCTATAGTCTTGTGTGGAGACGCCTCAAGGGGGCATCGATGCTCGCTAATAGGATCACAGGAGGTAGCATGGGAGGTACAACTGGGGAATCAATGCCCGTCTCAACAACCGAAAGTGTGGTAGAGTCTGGAGTGACTCCACTAGACTCGACATGAGCGAGATCTCTGCAGTGCATCTTGAAGAATGACCTCATCGGTCTCCTGCAACTCGATCAGTGTCTCAGCAATCATGTGCTCCTCATTTCTCAGCTTCTCCTTGTCAGCCTCCTCGGCCAACTCATTGCCATCACTATCATCCTCATCCTCTGCATCAACAACTACAGCAGCTCTAAGCACAGTAGCGAGAGGCACAACACTAGGCATCTCAGTCACATCGGGAAGGGGAACCTCTCCCCAAAGTGTGGAGATGTCCATATACTGTATTTGGACCACCTCCACTCTCAAATTAGCCACCTTCTTCTTCAGGGTATCAACAACACTAGATCTACCCCCAATCTCTTCTAGATCCTCAACCCTCACAGTCAACTCATCAAGCCTCAAATTATGGCTCTCTATCATCCCTTCGCACTTGTTCACTCTCTTAATCATAGGTGCTAGGGACTTCTGAATGGCCTGGTCAATGAGCTGGGGCAAGTCCTTATCAACTCGAGAATCTTTCACATTAGCAAACTGAACAAGGCTCCCATCTAGTATATCAAATATTGGGTCAAGGGGGATGGGAAACAGGAGGAAGGAAGGCCTCACAGTGGCAGTGGCAGTAGCAGAAGGTTGTACAGAAGCATCATCAGAAGATCCAGCAATAGAGGAAGGCTTGGAAATACCTGCCTAATCCACAGAAGGAGCAGGTGTTCTACTTTCAGTTGCCAGGTAGTTGGGTCAACCACTAGAGTGGAGTCTTGGGGTGGTGATTTCCTCAAGATGCATCATCTCTCATACACTCTACCTCGATCCTCTGTCAGGCCAAAAAGGGACTCCTGCCCTCTTACATAATTGTGTGATCAAAACTGGAAAAGGGAGTGATATGTTCTCCTATCTTGCCCTCATTAGCATCTCATCAACTATAATAGTGCCAACATGTATGTGCTCATAATCAATGATGGTGCCAACCAATATTTCCTTGTCATGGCAAATAACAGACTCATTTTGGGATGGCATCAGGTTGCTGATGATGATGAAGCCAAACCATTATCCAAACACAACATTTAAATCATTATTCTCAATCCTAGCATCATCAGCCATCTAAGAAGGAGAAGAATCAGAGATCCAGGGTGATAGCCAACCCTTCACATAATCCAAATCATTCCACATTCGGAGTGAACATAGATAAGATTCAAAGGTTGGCATGTATAATGTGGTGTTGATGGCTCCTGCATCATATCGGACTTTCATTCCCTGTAGTTACACTTCTTCAAGTGGTTTCCAGACTGTGCCCTTTTGCTTCTTTA